CCTATTTAGAATTTCATTGAAAACGCCATCTCAGAATTTGGATCAAATCTAAACTGAAAATATATTAAAAATATGTTGAGAACAGGTGTTTCTTAATCGGCAACTGAGGTAGGGCGTTTTCGAACCGAATTCTGAAATAGGGTGTTCTTGAAAAGTTTTCTGAGATAGGGCGCTTTTCAATAAAATTCTTAAATGGGGCGCTTTTGAAAAGTTTTCTGAGATAGGACGTTTTCGAACTGGCTGCTAAGATAGATCGATCTTTCACGCAGGTGTCGATATACTAATGCGTAATTTTGATTAAATTGTTGAGAGTAGTTGCTAGACTAAGTAGTCGCTGAATTTTTGATATTATGTCACATTTGTGGTGTAAAGAAATAGCCTGCCGTCAGTCAGTCAGAATTTCCCAGTAACAGATGCCATCAATCGCCGATATAGACATGCGCTTCTGTAATACGGCGCGCTCAATAAATATAAAAAAATGAATATTTTTACTTTTGAAAAAATATATGCATAATTATTTCAGTTACGCTAAATGCATTACCTGCATCATAATTTTCCTCAGTTACAACGCCTTTCACGAATGTTGAAAGTTGTTGCCCTTCAAACCAGTCGAACTCATACTGTCCGTCTATTTCCTGCCAACCATTTTGCACAGAAACCTTTGTTCAACCCACCTTCGGTCGAAACCGAAAGTCGGTAATACGACGAAAAGATAGAACATCCCCGACTTGGCCATTCATATTGCTGCGTTTTCCAATAAAAATATTTTAATATATGTATATTAGACTGTCCCAAAAAACCAACTTTGTTTTTTGTACGCATACCCCTCATTTTATTGGTATTATCTTAAAAAGTATCCGAATCAAATTTTATACAATTCTAACCACGGCAACCCGTGCCGACTTGCAGTCAAAGTTATCAGAATAAGCTTGTTGCAGTTCGCGTGTTTCGTTAATTTACTCATTTTACTTCTTTATAAGACGGTATTACTATACTCCCTACAGTATTAGGACATAATATTTAGTAAATCTGCGTTTTTGGTTTTTTACCTGGTAGTCAGGATTTTTTTCAAAGGACCATAAATTATAATATATTTCCAAAAGTTTACACAAAATATGGAGATATGGGTATCAAATGAAAGAAGAATTCGAAACAAGATTAAATATAACTTTTGTTTTCAATTATCCTTCTGGAACATGTCAAAAATGTCCTTTAAAAATATTATCCTTCAAGATTTTTAATTTTGAATGAGTTTTGAAGAATCTTGGTTTAATTTAAATCTTATTAAAATATATAAGGATACTAAAGGATAAAAATTTCAAAGGATATTTTTCAAATTATCTAATTAATATTGCCACATTTATTCTTTAACCAACCCGAGAGGACATGTCAAACACTAAAACACTTTATTTAGTTTATTTAATATTATGAAATGCATTTTTTTAAAGGAGGAAAAGAATTTGTTAAAAAAGTTAAATATAAAAATTTAATTAAAAAATGGTCTAAAATTGCAAATTTTCAGGACATGCACAAATTATTCGACTAAAAACATATAGTTTTGCAGCCTTGTAATACACTCCTTCAAATCCACTATGCTTTTCCCATTAATTAATTTTTTCGATGTCCTTGGGAGAAATCCTGCCGTACATATGTATCTTTTCTGGTAGAAAAATTAGTGTATCTCCTGAAAACGTGCACATCTGAACATTTTTTAATTGGTGTGACAGGGCGTATGATGAATGCAAAATTCTTAAATTCAACTTTTCTACTACATTCCTTTTTCTTAAAAAAATGCCTTACAAAATATTAAATAAACCAAATCATATGCTTTCTTATTTTATATGTCCCTTCAGGCTGTTCAACTGTTGTAAATCAGTACGATATGAAAATTATGTTTAGTTAAATTGTTAGAGGACATGTCAAAGACTAAAACGATTTATTTTGATTATTTAGTATAATGAAAGGTATATTTCTAAATGACGAAAAAAATGTGTAATACAAGTTGAATTTAATAATTTAATGTTCATCATACGCCCTGTCACACCTATTAAAAAATGTTCTACAATTGCAATCCTTCAGGACATACACAAATTATTCGAATAGAAAACATATCGTTTTGCGGCCTTGTAATACACCGTTAAAAAGCCGCTATACTTTTCGATTAATTAATTTTTTCGATGTCCTTGAGAGAAATCCTGTCGTCCTATTCAAAATTAAAGATGCAAATTTACTAGAGATGCGTTCAAATATGGGAAACATTTCGAATTTATTGCATTTCCAAAGTTTTCATGGACGCATTGGCAGCCTTAGTTCAAGTTATTAACTAAAACTTCAACTAAAAGTCGGCACGGGTTATCGTTAGCCTACGGCCATAAAACTTCATATATATGCTATTTAGGCTCAAAAGCACAAATATAGAGGGTTGGTATGTATATCAAAATTTGCAAACAAGTTTTTTCCATATATTCTTGGGACAGTCTAATGTATATGTACATACATAGTAAATTATATGCTTATTTACTGTGGATATTGTACGAGCATTTTACGTGCAAACCGATATTACATTTAGAACACAATTTTCGCGTACGTTGGTGATAATATCCGCTACGTGTGGCTCGTGGTCTGAAGATGGCAGAAAGTGCAAGTTTAAAAGTGTCTCGAAATAGCCAACTAGGTGGTTGACTAGATCCTATGCATGCCTATTAACACGATTTAAGCCTTCCGAGAGCTATGGCACAAGTAATACCGGATGTCGGTGTTGTACAAATCGTATTTTTACTTTGTGGAGAGAGAGCCCCGTCCAGTGACAGTGGACTAATATGAAAATACTCTATGAACTTTAAATTAATAACAAAACAGATGTCATCTGGGCCACCTGCGTCTCTCCTCAATCTTTCATAGACTGGACGCTTCACATTGCCACATTCTTATACAACAAGTAAACGGGATGAGGAAAGTGACGAAATTTCCACTAATGTACATACTTGTAAAAAAAACTGGTGATATACATACATACAAACAAACATATGCATGCACATCTACAGAAGCAAACGAAAGAACTGTACGAATAGTTTTATTTTTATATACTGAAAAATATTCGATATTATTAAATTTATTAGTGCAAGGCATTACATTTTGTCGGCGACTGACGGCATCTGTTACAGGGAAATTCTGACTGACTAATATTTTTGTAAGTACTTCAGCACCTGTGGCCTGAATTTCAGATTTTATAAAATGCTTTCACGTTGCAGAGATTTTGTACAACTTCAACTCGTGACTGACGGGCTCGGTTGCAGGATTTAAGTGATTAATGATTAAGTGATGATTAAGTGATTTTAATGTCAGATTACTTGAGTCAATATACTACTCTCAATTATTTTTTCAGATTTTATAAAGTAGTTGCAAGATAGTTTCTATATCCAAATTAACTGCGACTGACGGCAGGATATTTCTCAGGATTTAAGTGATTAAGGATTAAGTAATGATTAAGTGATTTTAATGTCAGATTACTTTAGTCAATATACTACTCTCAATTATTTTTTTCATATTTTATAAAGTAGTTGCAAAGCCGCCCTACGAGCAACGCTAACGAATTGGACTGACTGACTGACGGCAGGCTATTTCTCTACACCAAAAATGTGACATAATAACGAAAATTCAGATTTCATAAAATGCATGAAATTCCTTGTCGCTTGTCTCTCGGACTAAAAGTTTTTGAGAGCATCCGCATAAGTCGGAAAGTTATTTTGATGATTACTCGTTAGAACTGGTTTCACTATTTCAGGGGTTTCAAGTAATGCAGTTGGAACTCGTTTTTTTTATTGGTTTGTCTTTTTTTTTTAGACAAAAACGGGGCAACCTTTATAATTCGGCATATTCGGTTCTTCCCTCCACATTTACTTAATTTTTCGAACTTAGGACCCACTTTCGGCTTAACGTATTCTTTCGAGGTGAAAATCGCCGCAGATTACACACACGCATGGCAATTATGGCACTGGCGAGGCCCTTGGCCTTGTGTGGCGCTTCTACGAAATTTTACAGTGAAAGTGAAGAAAGTACCTTAGTTTATAAATGGGATGTACCTATTTTTAAGTTTATTGAATTCCGGCTCAAGTTCAAATCTAAATGTCGGTTGGGAAACGTTTTCTTTTTTTTTTATATAGTTCATTGAAATTTTATAATTTTTTATGAAGTTTAAAATGGGGATTTATGTGATGAATAAACAAAATAAAAATAGCCAAAACTGTTCAAATTGTCACTTAACTTAATCAGCTGACCACAGGTGTATGTAAATTCAACTAATTTGCAGTTAGTTGTTAACAAAGCCCTTTAGTATATGCTTAGTAAGAAATTAAAAATCCCGGGATCCTTAATATGTATGTACTTTAAATCAGGGACGTGAACCGGATGAAAAATTTGGTCGGTTCGATTCAGCGATTCGAACCGTTTTTGCACTTTTGGATTGGTTCGTAAAAGCGGTTATTTGGTCTTTGAACCGGGGTTCAACGGTTCGAAAAACAAAAAAAATAACGCGCAAGTTTATAAGCGTCAAGTGCAACAACGCGCAAGGTTAAGGGTCTGTCAAATGAGATGGGTTGCCTTAACAATTGATATTGTCACATGGTAAACAAACATGGTAGGTATTACCATGTTTAACAAAAAGAAAAAAATCGGGTGCATTTATCTATTGAAAACTGATTGAAACGAACCTTTAAACCTTTATAGAAAGTGGTTCGGTTTTCGGTTCGGATCAATCATTTGTGCAAAAATTTCGGTTCGGCTAATGGTTCAGTTAATTAATAGAAAAAAGCGGTTTTCCGGTTCAAAACTGGTTCGGTTCAAAACCGGTTCACGTCCCTGCTTTAAATATCTAGTAAGTTATGTAAAAACAGTTAAAAAATGCATATCCACTTTTTGCAAAAAGCACAGTTAGCGATTTTATATTCAATTGGAAACTGTTTCTGCAGCTTTGTATAAAGACAGGAAGAATTCAGAGTCAAACTCAATGCTGGCTGACTCTGATTTAATCACAAAAGAAATAATCAAGTTTTATATTCTAAAATCTTGTACCTGTAATTCTTCTTTTCCTGCATGCTGCTCGGCAAATTGATTAGTAATACACATTTCAATCAAAAGTTTCATCGTGGGATAATGCTTCCAACAAAACGCTCCGAAGGTCGATGGGTTATGGGCGGAAATCATAAGCATTATGATCCATGCCTTCCAATATAAAACTGTGATAGCAAGCTTTGGAGGAGCATAACCTAATGGTAAACTTATATTTTCCGGATAGTGATATTCTACCATATTGAATAAAAAGTCTATAACATCATATTTGTTGGCTTGCACTGCGGGAAAATTCGGAATTCTCATTGTTGATGCTCTTTTAATAACCATCATTATCACATCTATCGTTTCAGGAATAGTTAAAGGTATATCTTTAGTTATACCGATAAGTATAATTCGTAAAAGCGTATCTTCCAGCACTGGTGTTTCGGAGGCAATTCTTAAAAGCGCTGCCCGCTCTGGTTCAGAAGGCCACTGATCGCATCTTGAATACTGCTCAGGACTGTCCAAGAGTAATATTTTGTGTAGAGCTTGGCTATATTCCAAAGTTTGAATTTTGAAAAGATTTGGAACTGTTTCATACATCCAAGAAATGGCTTCCAATTGGATTTGAGACATTTGTGAATAAAAATTCAGTAAAAGCGGATTATGTTTCATTTCCTTGTTGGAACGTAATACAATGCATGCTTCACGTATCTGTGGTGAAACAGATAATAGCATGCAAAGGCATATTATATCCACCATTGAATGAAATATTCTATCTCTGAATTCGGAGCGTTCAACTTGTTCTATCAAATCAATTCGTTCATTCATAAACGCTTTACAGAATCTTACAATGTTCATATCATAACGAAGCACACGAACCAATTCACGTAAAAATACCCTTAAAGTACGTAAACAGTCTTCGCGTTGCAATAGAAATTCTTTATAAATCTCGGCAAGATGTTGCGATGATTGTTCCGGAGATGTTTGAAACATTGTAGCTGAAACGAATAAAATACATTAAAAGCATGGAATCAAATGTTAACTTCCAGTCCTAAGTGTATACGTAATTAAATATCGCTCTTTTGCTGGAAGAGTGTCCTAATACAAAAAATCTAAAACTCGAGAAAAACGGTTTAAAGTTTAGTTTCCATACGTTCCTGTACTAAAAATTAAGACACATTTTCCAACAGTACTTTCGAATATATCAATTTGATTTCAGAAACCATCAATTCGGTTTTAGAAAGCGTGAATACGATTTTAGAAAGTTTCATATGGACTTTAGCATAGTCAAATGTTTTTTAGAAGGTGTCATAAATGCTTTAAGGCTCTGTCACATACAGCTTTCGCGTCGCATTGGCGTTGTTTCATTTTGACATCAACGCAAGTAGCGCAAGTGTTTGCTACAATGAATGCTCTTACAGCAAATGTTTTTAGTTTTTGATTTTGAATTTTACGATTGAAAAACATTCAAACATTTTTAAAATGGAAGCATTTGGTCGTCGCGGTCCTTACTCGTTTTTTCTTTACACGATTTTGTATGTTTATTAGTAAAAAGTGAATAATTACATTAAGGGAGTGTCAACGCGCCCAAAACGGCAAGAGTTAACCAGCGTTCGTGTTTCTGTGGCGTCAGCGTTGCCTATGAGAACTGCTTCATATAAACGTATGTATTTATCTTAGCTGTCAAAGCAAAACCAACGCCAAAGCAGCACGAAAGCTGTATGTGCCAGAGCCTTTAGAATTATCAAGTGTATTTTAGAAAGTATAACTAGATTTCAGAAGGCGTCAAATGTTCTTTAGTTTTTCAAATATACTTCAGAAAGCAACAAATGTACCTTTGAAAACATCAAATGTACTGTAGAAAAAATCAGATGTACTTTAGCAAGTGTTAAACGTACTTTCGAAAATATCAAAATTCCACTTTAGAAAATATATACTGTATGTGATATACTTGCCCTAACCACTGTTACTTCATACACTTACACATTTTTTTGCGCTTCAATTTTAAACGTTTTTTCCCAGGTAGGTTGTGCATTTTTTTATAAGCCAATTCTAATTACTGAACAGCTTAATAGACTAACTTTTATATTAAAAAAAAGAAAAATAATTTTTTTATACATAAAGGAAATGCTCATTTATTTCAAAAGGAACTGTTAATATTAAGAAAATTAAAACGACCACTATTACTTCATAGAGTGAACGTAACTCAACTTTAATACTGTGTAACGTCCCCCCTTTGCTTTTATTGCGGCATTCAGTCTAAGAAGCATGGTTTTAGTTAGTGGTAAACATTCATTTGGAGTTATAGAATCCCAGATTTCACTAATTTTTGCCTTTAAGCCATCAAGTCCTCTGGGCCTCATTTCGAAGTCTTCTCTTCATTAGCGCCCATAGAGACTGGATAGGATTAGGGTCCGGACTGGAAGCAGGCCAGTCTAAAACAGGTATATTTTTACACCATCTTGTTGAAAAATATATTCGTCCGCTGTAGACAGATTGGGTATACTTGGGAGCAAATTTGTCTCCAAAATATTGAAGTAATCCATGAATTTTATAGTCCCATCGATAAAATGAAGCTTTCCTACTACTTTCAAGGACATATGTACAACCCCATACCATGACACGCGCTGGGAACTTTCTCTCTGTATAATATGCTTAATTTCTCTTTCGTATCACACGAGTCCTTGAGTCGCCTACGCAAACATCGAACTTAGATTCGTCGCTAAATATGACGGAGTCCCAGTGTCTTTGGACCCACAATCGTCTAGCTTTACTCCAAGCTACTATTTTTTGCTTTTGACGGACTGTTTGTAACGGTTTCCTTTCTGTCTGTTAATTGCAAAATAAATTTTGTTAGATTCTACAGTGCATCACACCTGAAACCATACCTTATAACAAGTAATTTTTACCAAAAAAAAACCGACTTCAACTCTCATATAAAAAGAAAATATATATATATATATATCTCATGATCCGCTGATCGGATCTTAACCAGATTAGTACGGGACCACCTCTGAGACACTACCTTTTCGATGCAAAATTATCGAAATCGGTTGACGTGGTCCAAAGTTATGCGGTAACATACATTAAAAAAAAAAAAGTATTCTGACGAACTGATAACATCCTCCTTTTTTAAAAGTCGGTTAAAAACTATATTTCAACTTATGCAGCTGCAACCGGGTCAACTCACGACCTACAAGTTTACCAATCTTCTGTGACCATGTAGCAGCCAAGTTTCGTACAGAGCTCCGCCTATTTTGGTTAATAATGTCGCTTGATTGCGGAATATCGCGGTTGGAAATCATTGATTTTCGACCTCCCAGGTGCTCGTTTGGCGAAATCTGTCCAGTTTTATTATAGTTTCTAATTATACTTTCCACCGTAGGAGTTGGAACATTAACTTCTCTTGCAATTTCGCGATAACTTTTCTTAAATTTGTATTTACCAATAACCAATTCACGAATTTCTTTGCAAAGGGCTTTTCGGCGTGCCATTATTCAATTCAAAACTGAAAAAAATGTTCGCCAGTCATGATACAAAAAGAAGGTAGTTTCATTTCAAAATTTTTTACAAAAAATAAGTTTTTGATGTTGCATAAATTGTAAAAAATTATTAGGTCCTTGCCACATTGATAGCAATGAAGCAATTTGTACAATGATTTTTTGGTGTGGAGCAGAGGGGGAAGGGGTGTGTCACCTAAAACTCATTAGAGAGAACACAGCATAAACTTTAAGTAAAGTCCCATCGCCTCCCTGCCCCTTCTACAGGCGCTCGGAGCACATTTCAAAATGGGGTAAAATTAGAAAAACGAAAAATTAAACACGTGCTAAGTCGACAGCAGTATCTTTGCGCAAAACTCCTTTCCGCGTTGGTGGCCTTCCGGCGCGCTGCATAAAAATAACCCCATTAGTCCAACTCCGGTTATGCCATACACATAATTTTTGCGCAAAATCAACCTCCAAATTTACAAAAAAAAATATATATATATTTTGAACCGAATTTTTTGTTTTAAATTAAAGCTTAATCCTTTGACTAGACGCAAATGTAAAAATTATTTTATTCGGGTAACGCGTTTGGACACGATAACCCAAATCGTTGTACAAATAACCATGCCCGAACTGCCTTACTTATGTATTTTTCTATAGACAAAAATTTTATAAAACGATACTGCAGACATTTTCATCTTATGTGGATAATTCTTGTCACAAATACACAGTTTCGTGCTTATATTTATGTATATATATTTCTTAGCAGCGTCATATCTTTATCAACAAATTCCGATAATCCAAAAATTGATACTGTTACAAGTTGCAGGGCATCATTTTAACTCGACCTCCTCTCTCTTCCACGGATAACGGTACATCGTTTAGAGGTTTAAAAATATTTGGCGTCGGCAGTTTGTCTTCAAACTGCATTAGATCATATTACGTACTCTATCCTGGGAAAAGCACAAAACTTTATTTTTGACCTTTTGCACAGGTGTACTGAATTCTAGCAGTTTGGAAACGCGCAAGACTTTTCTTTTAATATTTTTATCCAACTTCACTAACTTCTAATTTTTTTTTACTTTTTCAAGAAACAAAAATGTTGCTGCTAGCGAATCTGGTAGCAATATTTTAGTCATATGTCATAAACTTGTTAAAAGTCAAGTGGTCGGCAACAACAACGAATGTCAATAAATGAAACTATCTTCTATTTTTGTATCATGCTCGCCAATAATTAGCCCAGTAAAATAAGATAAATTTGGTAGGAAAATTGAGCAAAATTTGTAACAGCGATGTTTTGATGCAGTTTAATTCTATTTGACACGTAGATCATGAATCCACAGTCTTGCCCCTAAATTTCATTTGGCAACATTCCGCCATCTTGGATTTAATTTTATTTTGGGTTTTTTGCGATTTTCAAGCTTATTTTGCATTTTTCGAAAAAAATGGTTAATACAAATATGTAGAGAATTTAATTACCGGGAACGCAATACACATCGCGATGTACGGGATGCGCCGTAAAACATTTCCACGCCTTCACCTGCTTTCATTAAAAAAAAAAAAAAAAACGTTGCCCGTGGATTAGTCCTACTGGGGAAACCACGTTAAAAAACGCGCCAAAAAAACTCTACTTCAGCGGTGGTGTGGAAATGAGTTTTACGGCGCATCCCTGCCGTGATCTAAGCGTCGTACAAAAAAAATTTAGGGACAAAAGTTGTGGAGAATGAAATTCTCTACAACTTTGAAATTTCAATATGCTATGTATTTTCAACAGAAATTGACCAAAAATGGCGAAAACCGTGACAATGTAAAATTTTTTCGCAGTTTTTTCTAATTTTTTACAATAAAATATGCTATTTTTAAAAAACCTTCTATATAACCAAGTGGGTAATTGAATTCTCTACATATTTGTATTTAAACATTTTTTACGAAAAATGCAAAATAAGCTTGAAAATCGCAAAAAAAAACAAAAGAAAATTAAATCAAAGATGGCGGAATATTGCCAAATGAAATTTAGGGGCAAGACTGTGGATTCATGATCTATGTGTCAAATAGAAGTAAACTACATCAACCTCAACGATGTTGGTCTCCTTGACGTGGGGATGAGGCTTAAGTGGTGACATGGGGGCCGTTTAGGGGCTTTCTATATCAGCACGAACAAGAGGGAGGCTCCGCATGGGAACCTGTGTAAGACACGAGCTTACACAGTATCCTATGTGGAGATTACCGCACCGACGATTACTCCTGCCCTTATCCCTCCTTATTTTCCTATCCCAACAACCCAACTCCTCCCCCTAATCCAGGGTGTTACGCGACACCGTGCCCATTGGATGGTTTGCAGCCAGGGGGCTTACCAGACCGGCTGTATTTTAACGGCGCCTTCCTGACACCGGGCCGCCTTAGGGAGTAACGGTGGCCTTACTGCGGCTAGGGGCGCTGTCGCCGTGTACCGTATGATTTCCCCACATACTACGCAGACCACTGCGCTTGCCTTGTCGAGCAGGTGGTCGTACGAACAAGATGAATCACAACCTAAACAAAAACCCAACAAAAACAAAAACAACAACAAAAAAGTTATTAAAAACTTCGTGTTCCCCAAATCGGGGAAAGACTGTGCAGGCGCAAGCGCCATATACGCCGCTTCGCTCCAGAAGGAGCTCTTCCGGGCTGGATGTGGGGGACACTTCACGCCGGCCCGTGA